CAAGTCAGAATGATTATGCTAAATGTAAGTCCAACCAACTGTAGAGAAGACTGCTTTCTCTGGCCTGTGAAGTGCTTTGGGAATCTCACTTATTGGCATCTGTTAACGTTGCCAATAAATTGTCACGCTCAGAAACTTTGTGCCTCAGTTTTTCTTCATTGCAGGTTTTTTTTGGTTACATTCCCAACCTTTTTTTCCTGGCCTCCAGGCAGGAGGCAGCCACAAATTCCCCTTTGGAAATATTAAATTTGATGTATTTTAGACAGCTCAACTTTATTATGTCCAAATCCAAACTCATTATCTTTTCTCCAAAACCTTTCCATTTTCTAAACTTTCTTATTACTGTCAAAGGCACCATTATCCTTCTAGTCACCCAGACTTTCAATCTCAGTGTCATCATGATACTGACCCCACATTTCTTCTGTATATCTAATCTATTGTCAAGTCTTGCAATTTTTACCTTCACAATATCACCCACATATGCACTTACATAGCTACCATGTGCATGCATCCCTAACTCAATAAACTTTAGTGGCTCCATTATATCCAGGATTAAATACAAGGTGTTTCATTTTCAGTCAAAGCCTTTTGCAGTTTCATGAATTCCTACCTTTCTGGTCATATAATTTACTCTCCTTCACATATTCTGTGATCTGAAAATGACATTCTATCTCCATTCTCTATTTTTTCATTGTCTGTCCTCCAGACCTGAAATGCTTCCCTTTCTTACTCTTCTCGTGGTACTCTGGATTTCTTCAAGGCTTAGTTCAAATTTCACCTTCTGCAGATGCCTCTCCTGGCCCACCCTATTGTTAGTACCATTTCTCTGAGATTGTTCACTTTCAACTTACACTCTAAATATCTTGTATATACATTGTTTTATATATGTGGTCTCACCATTAGAATATGAACTTCTTGAGGGCAGGGACTATTTTTTTTCTGTCTTTCTTCGAATCCTTGGCACTAAGTACAGTGTTTAATAAACATTAATTGATTGACATTTAATTTCATTTGAGAGAGCCCATCTACCAAAGCAAAAGCAGGATTGTGTGAGTGTGTATTTATTTTAAAAGAGTTTTACTTATGCTTGCAACTTCATAAGTTAAATGAGTGGAAGTTGAATGTAAAAGATAGATTGCATAACACAGTCCAGCAAGTGTTGATCTTCAAATCAAAAGGCACTCCCAGATAGAGCTAATGAATGTGAATCAGCAATCTGGCAATAGTCTAAGAAAGACAGTGGTGTGTAAATGATCAGACATAGAACAGAAAGGTTGTTCACCTGCCCTCCTGCTTGGAATAAGAGACACTGCCATGGCAACTGCCATCTGAATCTGAGGCCAAATAGAAAGGGAAATTAAAGCATTATCATCATTAAGTAATAGCTAGTTCCAGCAGCCATGGCCCATAGCAAAATGAAGCACAAATTCAGTCACTGTATAGAAAATGTCTGGGGTTGGTGGGAAGGTGGCATGAGTTATGATTTTTAAAAATCTCAATTGCAAAGTCTTTCATTGTTAGTGGATAATGTTCCCCCAAAATTTATTATTTTAAAATAATAATTATACTGAAGCAAAGGGGATTTTGCTCAAACTGGAGATCATTTGAAGATCAATAATCAGGTTCAAATTTATCAAGTACATGTGACAGATGGACATTTATTTATCTGGCACTTATAATAATTGCTTTAAAGTTTACAATAAATTTTATATGAATTATCTCATTTGGGCCTCACAGCCATTCTGAGGTAGGTACTACAGGTATTACTATCCCTGTTTTGTAGATGAAGGCATTGTGGCTCAGAGAAATCAAGTGTTTAACACATAGCCATGCAGCTGGTAGGTGTCAGGGTTGGAATATAAACAAAAGTCTTCTAACTCAAGTTCCAGTGCCCTATCCACACTATCAAGGTACCACTAAGGAATACAGAGAACTGTAAAAATTCATAGTTCATTAATCTTTACAAAATCATTTGGACATAAGAAAGGGGAAAACAAAACAAAACAAAGTGTTACAATGATCATTGTGCAGTTTGGGCAAAAGAAGGCTGAGTACTCATATGAAAAAGTCAAGGTCACATATAATAGGGGAAAAAACTGAATAGAGGGTCCAAACCCAGGCTTTTTTTGTAATCAAGTATTTAAATATATGTACATATTACATACATTCTTATTGTTTTTACATTCTATCCTTTAACCTAGTTTTCATGGTTTCATGGGTTCTATAAAAACCAAGACAACTGCACTGTCCCACCCACAATTATCCAAGTTGCCCTTTCCTACTCCTAAGCAACCACAATTCTATTACCCTACTTATCTCTTGGTTAAGAACGTTAACCAGTCACCTACAAGAAAAGCAGTGAGAATTCTCTGATTGAGATTCCATGAAATTAAGTGAAACAATAGAAAAATAAAATAAATAGAAAAATAAAATTTATTTTAGTCTTTCATTTGAACTCTGTTAGTACTGAAAAAAATATATATGTATATATGTATATCTGGTCTTAGATATGTGAGCTAAGTAGGAGATAGCTTGGTGTAATTAATGAAGCACTTAACAGATATTCAGAGACATGGGTTCTATTCCTAGTACCACTGCTTATCAACTGTGTAAACTTGGGCAAAATATGTCTCCACTATGGGCTCAGTTTTCTCATTTGCAAAATTAGGAGGTCAGCAAAGACATCGTTTAATGCTAAAGACTCAGTTGAACAAAAACTGCAGAGAAAACTTCAAATAAGTTTGGCATAAATTAGGTATAGACCAACATCTCATACTATATATCAAAAATAAGCTACAAATGAATACAGGGCATGATACCATGAGTGAACTAGGGGAGGAAGGAAGAAATTACCTTTCAAATCTATGCATAGAGGAAGAGTTCATGACTAATGAAGCAATAAAAAGGATCACAGGAAATCACAGCAATTTGTATTATGTAAATTTTAAAAAGATTTTACACAAACAAAACCAGTGCAATTAAAAATTTGAAGGGAAACAGGTAATAGGAAGAAAAAAAATAATCTTTATAACAAATTTCTCTGTTCAAAGCTGTATATCCAAGATATGTTAACAACATTCAAATTTATAAGACTGCCATTAACTGATATATAAATGGTCAAAGGATATGAATGGCTATCTTTCTTCTTCTTCCCTTCTTCCTTCCTTCCTTCCTTCCTTCCTTCCTTCTTTCCTTCCTTCCTTCCTCCCTTTTTTCCTCCCTCCCTCCCTCCTTCCTCTCGTTCTCTCTGTCCCTCTCGCTCTGTCTCTGTGTCTCTCTCTCTCTTGAGTTTCCATATTCTTACCCAGACTAGAAGTATACTGGCCACTCATTGGGCCCACTCCCGCTGTTTATCAGTATGGGAGTGTTGACCTACCCTGTTTGCCCCCCCCCTTAGGTAATCTGGTTGCCCTTGCTCTCAGGAGCTTATCATATTTGTCATAGACTTAGGGTGCACACTGAATCAGTTCAGCATGCTGTAGCTCAGAATTCCTGAGCTCAAGTTCTAGTTTCCACCTCCCAAGTAGCAGGACTTATAGGTATGCACTATCATGTCTAGGTAATAGGTGGTTTTCAAAGAACAAAATCCAAGCTATCAACTATAACATGGAAAATGCTCCAAAATGACTAATAATTAGAGAAGCACAACTTAAAACAGCCCTGAGATTCCATCTCAGACCTGTTAGGTTGACAAAGATGATAGAACAGGTAAATGACAAATGTTGAAGGGACTGTGGAAAAATAGGTACTTCTGCAAGTGTAAGTATGAATTAGTCCATCCATTCTGCAAAACAATGTGGAATGATTACCCTAAAGTTATGAAATTGTGGATATATTCTTTTTTACCCAGTTTTACCATTACTTTGGGGGTATCAAAGTGATCAAAGAAAGAAGAAAAGGACCTATATGTACAAAAATGTTTATAGCGGCTCTTATCATGGAAGCCCAAAACTGGAATCCAATGACGTGTCCTTCTATTAGGGAAGTGCTAAACAAATTGTGGTATATAAATTTAATGGATATTATTGTGCCATATAAATTATGAAATGTATAGTTTTAGAAGAAACTGAGAAAACCTGCTTTTATAAGTCTGATAGAGTGAAGTAAGCAGAAGTAATAAAACAATTTATACTATGTCACCAACTTTATAGAGAAAAAATAACCTTGAATAACTTTAAAATTCTGACCAATAAAATGATAAATGATAAATCCAGAGGACTGAAAATAAAACATACCTCCTGCCAGATAAGTGATGGACTTAAAAATGTAGAATGAGACATATATTTTTGGAAATTGTGGTAATTTATTTTGTTAAACTATGTTTTTTTTTCCATTTTATTCTGTTTTTCAATGAAGGGAACAATGGGAAAGAGATAAATACTTGTATAAATCATTTTAAAAAGAAAAAATTTTGTTGGTTTGGAAAAAATGGCCTGGGCAACTAAGTTGTGTAGTGGATAGAATGTTGGGCCTACAGTCAGGAAGATAAATTCAAATGTGACCTCAAACACTTAGTAGCTGTGTGAGCCTGGGCAAGTCACTTAATCCTATTTTCCTCAGTTTCCTCATTTGTAAAATGAGTTGGAGAAGGAAATGGCAAATCACTCCAGTATCTTTGCCAAGAAAACCCCAAATGGGGTCACAAAGAGTCAGACGTGACTGAAAACAACTAAACAACAACAAATAAGTGACAACAACAACAATGTAATAATTTAAAAACTAATTTCCATTTGAAATTAGTATCCAAAATACATGAATGCAGCTAATCAGTCAGAAGAATCAGAATATTGTCTGTCTTTTGTAGATACAGAAACATGCACTCATCAAAGGCACTAAAAAGGACACTTGTAAAGATATAGTTATGCTATGAAAACTTATTTCCCAAATAGGTTAGCTCATTCATGAAAAGAAACAGATATTAGGTAAATGGGATTTTCAAGCCCACAGAAATAGCTGGAATGCTGTTTTGAGTTTTAAACAAGAAAAAAGCCAGACTGTACCTGCTTCATCAGCTGTAATGGTGAGCTCATTGCTGGCTTCACTCTTGCCAATTCGGTTTTTGGCATACATGCGGATGCTGTAGGTGGAGGAAGGATGGATATCAATGATGGTGGCCGAGTTCAGCTGAGGGGAAACATCTTTGGTTCTCTGAGCAGAATCCCAGGAGTCTTTTAGGTTTGGGTTTTTTTTTTTCAAAAAAGAAGAAATAGAGACTTGAGTTTTTTTCCCTGACTTTAAGATTTTCATAAATGATTTTTATTACATATCAAAGTGAATTCTCAAGTACTAAATATCTTAAGTTATTAGGTAAAGTCGGATGTCAGCAAAGAAACAACACCACACCCATGGATCATGCTTTAGCAAATGAAGGGCTTCCAATTTCATTGTATTCAGGGAGGAATGTTTGAGGGAACACAGTACATGATGAATTTTAGTAATAATGGTGAAGAAATAGAAGTCAGGAAAACTGAAGCAAGGAGAGTAAAACAAACAAATATGTAAATAAATGGGAAAACAAACAAATACTTTTTTTAAAGCCCCAAACAAGCATTTAAAGATTATCCAGAATGTTAAAAAGAATTAGAGTGCAAAAAAAGAAAAAAAAAGCCTGCTTCTGCTGAGTCTTTGAAAACTACAACCTTCTTTCCCCAATTAAAGAAGAGCCAAAATGAAATAGCTACTAAAAGGAAAATAAAACAAAGCAAAACAAACTCCCACTGTCTAATTAACTTCCAGTTCTCAGGCACATAGTGGGGGAAGTAAATAGAGCATTGGACTTAGAGTTAGGAAGATCTGAATTCAAATTTTGCCTCAGGCAGCTGCCTAGCTATGTGATACTGGGCAAGTCACTTACACTCTCTTTGCCTCAGTTTTATCATCTGTAAAGGAAAGTAATTGCACCTACCTACTAGGGTTGTTGTGAGGATAGATGATGTTTGTAAAGTGCTTTGCAAACCTTAAATAGTTATAGAAGTCATTATATAAATGACAGCTCTTTTCATTATTTCACTTAAGTATCATTTCATTGAATCTAATGACTCCATTAGTTAATTAAATTAATTATAACTAAGTGCCTAATGTGGTCAGGACATTTTGTTACTGGAGACACAAAGACAAACGTGAAACAGCCTCTGCCCTCAAAGAGTTTACTATGCTTATTACTAGAGAAGAGAAGGATCACTGATCCTCAGAATGTAATTTTAGCTAGAGTAGGCAATTGCAGCATATTTTGTTTACTGTTCACATAATAAATATCTGGTGTTAGTATAGTTTATTACAATATCCAGGATTTGAAGTAGTTCTGGAGAAGGAGTGGTAGTATTTTAAGTCTTCTATTGACTGCATCATTTTCCACTCTCTCTGAATGAATACAAATGCCTTCTTCTCACTGTTCTCTCTTTGCCTCCTTTCCTCTTTTGCTCTTCATTTTTACGCATTAATGGATTAGTAGAGGGTATTCTCAGATATGGGTCCTGGGGACAGATAAACCACCCTAACTCCTTTTTCCAACCCTCAGCCCTCACCATGACACTGTATGACGATGCAATGGAAAGACCATTGGGAATGTCTGTCCATTCCAACATATCCAAACTGTTGAATTCCTATCAATCCTTTAAAGCCCAAATCAGACTCCAACTCTTCTAGAAAATCTTCACTGGTGTCTCCTCTCAGTAATGTGCCTTCCCTCTTTGACCTCAAATAGTGCTTTGCTTACACTTCTTTGATCTACTTGTGAATGTGCCATATCCTTTTCCTAGAATGAAAACTAGGGATGGGGACTGGATCTTATTTTTATTTTGTGTCTGATCTACCTAAATGAATTGACAGCAACTATCCTGTGAGACCTTGGAAATATCTCATGATTTATTTGAGCCTCTTTTCTCATTGATAACCTGAGGAGGGTCAACTTGATATTGCAGAGAATTGGCCACTGAGCCCAGTGTTTATGAACATACACAGAGTGCCACTGATGCAATTCTCCACGTGGAAGAGGCTAGGGAGCTCACTTCCAGGAGAGCCATGATTATATGTAATGGAAGTGCCTTGAGGAGATTTTGGAGTATTTATATACATTCTGTAACTGGTTTAAGTCCACTTACCACATAATGAAGAAAAGCCTCTTTGGCTGCAGTTATAGAGTCATAACTGGGGAAGGGGGGCAATCAAAAGGCACTAGTTGTCCTTGTCCCTTTCTCTTCAGCTGCCCTCCTTGTGGTTTGACATCTTCCAGTCTGCATTCTGGTAAGAGAGGAGAGACAATGCTGTAATGCCAGATGTTGGCCTGTGAATAGGGATCTCAGTTCTTTTTCTCAGGGTTTGCTTTTACATTTAAAATGAAGTAGATTAATCTGGAAGCTGTGACCTTTAGAGTTTGAAAAGTCAGCAGAGGGAGCTACCTGAAGTCCAAAAGCCAAGGAGTCAAACTTGTTCTGGGTTTTGAAGCCAATCCAGTATCAATGCCTTAAGAAGTGAGGAATGACTTTCAGGATGGTTAAAGAGAAAAGGGCTCATCTGACAGTGATTCTAATGCTGCATTTGGAGGTGAACTTTCTGGGACTCATTGCATACAGAAGTTGGCTTAAGGATGAGTAGGCTCAGATTTCACTCAGTTTGGACCCACCAAGTTCACATCCAAATGCAGCACTAGCACCATTGCCAGAGGAGTCCTGATCTCATCTACCATCCTGAAAGTCACTTCTCACTCCTCAACACATTACTGCAGGACTGACTACAAAATCCAGCATGGACTTGACCCTCAGACCCTGGACCTCTGCTGGTTTGTTCTCCTTACTTTTCAAAGCTCACAGGGGGTCATAGCTTCCAGATTAATCTCCTTCACCTATCATGAAAAAACAAAACCAAGGAAAAGAACTGAGGTCTACAGGTAGCCTTATAGCATTATCTCTCTTCTCTTACCAGAACACTGATAGACCAGGAGAAGTCAAAGTATAAGGAAAGCAACTGAAAAATAAGGGACAAAGCCAACTAGTGCATTTTGAATGTCCATACCACCTTCCATCTCCTTCTCCTCCCCCCCACATACCCAGTTCTGGTTCTGCAGTCTTAGTTAATCAAAGAAACTCCTCTTCATCATGTGACAAATGGACTGGAACCAGTTACGGAATGTCTGTGCATGCTCCAAAAGTCTCTACAAGGCACTTCCATTATGTGTCAACATAACTCTTCCAGAAGCAGGCTTCCCAGACTTTTTCACTTGAGGAACTGCATCAGAGGCACTCTGCACACTCTCATAAAGACTAGGCTCAGCGGGCAGTCCACTATTGCAGAGATAATCTCCAAAGTCACTCCCACATCAATAATTCTAGGATGTTAGTTATAGAGTTCTCACAATATATTTACTGCTGTAAATGGGATTATCTTTAGAGGGTTGTCTAGAATTGTTAGAGAAGACCCTCAACCCACTCAGAGGAGCAATAGCTTCAGGATAATATATCATTTTTACCACAACTCACTATGGAGTCCTGGTTCTCAGATTTACAGGTTTGCTTAATAGCTTCCTTGCTCTTTAATCCTTAATTAATTAAAGATAAGAAAAGATTTATTTTTTGGGGAATGGGGTAGTGAAATCGAAATATAATCTTTGTGGAACTTTTCTGTAACTTACAGCCTTCAGGTTGCCTGAGGTACTGAGAGGTTACATGAGTTTCCTTGGTTACAAAATCAGTATAGAATTTTCTTGCTGTATCAAAGTGTGTAAGTTCCAGATAACTGTCCAGTTTTTGCTGAAATCTATGGTTAAAGTGACTCATAAGCTTTACAGTTCTTCCTACTCCCACTCCACTAGAATCAGCAAGAATAGGAATAATAGAAAGCTGACACCCATAGCCACATTAGAAATGCTGATCTTAACCTTGACTTGTCTTCACAGCAGGACAATTTTCTGGAAGATCAGACAATGTTCCTGCTTCTAGGTTAATTGGGTAATTCTAATTTGTGCTTGTCAACTATATATTGGACATATCAGTATTAGTTACTTTGGTCATAGAAATGGTTTATTTTAATGGCTTCACATTTAAACATCTCCAACTTTTGATCATTACCTGTGTATCTTAGATCAAAAAGTCTCTGAATTTGTGCAGAACCATTCTTACTTTCTTCTTTTTAAGCCCATTGTATATAGTCCAATCAGAAAATTTTAGGATAACAGTGGTAGGTTTTGCTCTTTTTCTTCTAGACAAAGGACCTATCAGTCTTTTGTTCTCAAAATATATGTATGAATCTAAGAAAGATCCAATTATAATAGGAAACCTGAAAAACTTGGTTTCAGGCATTTAAGAATTAAATTCCCCACTAGAATACTGAGGGATGGGTGATCAGATTTATGACTGGAATATTATCTAATCCAGCCCACTCTTCTAAATCAGATTGTTCTGAAATTATCTTTAAATACTAGATTTCTTTGTAATCACTAAAGAAGGAGTTTCCATCAATTGCTCATTGTGCTATCTTACCTAGGTCTATCCTCCTTAATCAATTTCCCATGCTCCACAATTTGTCCTTTTCCCCTTCCCCATCAAAACTTTTCACTCAGGGACAGGATCTCAGTTAGTTATTAGGATAGAAGGTAATCTGATACTAAGCAACACAAACATATAAATAAAATATTATTTATTTCTAACACAATGCTTCATCAAAGGAATGACTATCTTATAATAGATTTTCAGCAGGCAAATGGGCAGATATTTGGGGTGAAATCTTTCTATAACCCTTCTCAAGACGTATTACAGCAGTACTGTCAAACTCAAATAGAAACAGATCCCTGTAGCCACATATTTACTTTGTTGTTACTGTTGTTCAGTTGTTTTTCAGTTGTGTCTGACTCTTGAGATTTTCTTGGCAAAGATGCTGGAGTGGTTTGCCATTTCCTTCTCCATATCATTTTACAGATGAGGAAACTGAGGCAAAACAGGGTTAAGTGACTTGCCCAGGGTCACACAGATGGTAAGTGTCTGGGACCAGGTTTGAACTCAGGAAGATGAGTCTTCCTGACTCCAGGCCTGGCCTTCTATCCACTGCACCACCTAGTTGCCTATAGGGCTTGCTTAAAAAAACCACAAATTTAAATTATATATGCTATAGTACATTTTTGGTTGCTTTTGTTAAACATTTTCCAGTTACATTTTAATCTAGTTTGAGCTGCATTCAG